AAAGACACTTTTGAATATCTTGCTGGAATTTCGAGTGTCAAACAAATTTTTTCATATTCATGCAATTACAGTATTGGTTTAGGCAAGAAAGTTTTGTAAACGAAAATGTTCGAAAGTGAAAACTTCGGAAGAACATCATAAAAGGCATGATTACTGACAGATATAATGGGGTTATTTTTTATTCATGAATATATTGACTTGTTTTTCAATAGATCACAATCTAGACTCAGCACTCAATGAGGACACATTACGAATACATGCCACAGTTCTCATCATAATTATGATTGCAATGACGCCAATAATAATAGGAACAGCAGTAATGGCATAATGCAGTATAATAATAACGCCGACTTTAATAATAATAGATATTATTATTAGTTTTATATAATAATAATAAAAATGAGAGTAATAACACCACAAAAGAATAGCAGAAGTAATGGTAATAATAATAATAATATGACTGATTGCACAAAAGAAGTGTGATGCATAAAGGATTATGTTTTATGTCCACAGAGTGATGAATAGCAAACACATCATCAAATTCTTTGGTAATTATCGGGTTTCTTTGGACAGATTATTCAGATCTGATACAGAATGTCTTTCTATAATCCATTTTAGAGATTTATCCGTTCCATAAAGATCACCAAAGTATCATATGAAAGGGTTGGTCGAATACACCATCACCTTTATTTGCGGAAAGATCCATAACGCTTGAGTTCATTTGATCTTTTATAGATTAAAAGGGAATGAGTAATATTCTTGAATACATATATATAATTAGCAATATTTCTGAATCCGCTCATAGTCTCACATCTTATCGTCACAATTTTCAAATTTTTGGTTTATTTGATCTATCGAATCTCCAATTTATCAGCTCATTCCACTTAAAATAATTTAAAATAGTAATTAAAGTTTTTAGGTCATTTTTGATTTCTCAGACAAATACACAAAAATATTCTCAACCAAAGATACCTAAATCACGAGGCTGGTATTCATTCTTCCTGCAAAATTAAATAAAAGTTACCACTGAAATTATCAGATGTTAGGTGCTGTGTTCCAATTATCTCAAGATTAAGGTAATTGGAACACAGCACACAACATCTGGGTTACTACTGATCATTAATTGTAACTTACGTGAATAATGGGCGTACGTCTTCAAGACGTAAATGTTCTGCGATCACATTGGAAAAACAGTTTCTGATAATTCATAAATTCAACATTGCAACTATTGGGTGAAATTACATTCTGGTCAATGCACCTTATTGACTTATGATGAGATACTTTGAAGTAGGTTAAGGTTTGAAGAAAGTGGTGATAGGAGAGGAATAGTACAATATCAAAAAATTGCTGTGAAGTGGTATTGCGATAATCACTGAACGTACGATTAATAAAGTTCACAAGGATGGGCGTTTATAGTGCTTATTGTTATCAGTTTTTGTGATAACAATTTTTATGGATCACTGCATTTTATTATCTTCTAATAGTGAATCGAATCGCAAATGCAACAGCATTCATAACTTCATCACATCATAACGAAAAAAATTTCGATGTAATCGTGTGGCTGACACTTTAGTCTGAATGGAATCAATAGCGTAGCCAAGGGGACGCCCTACCCCACCTGAAGTTTTATAGTATAGAGACAAACAAAAGCGAAAGAGAGGGGAAAAGCGGAGTCAGTAGAGGAGAAAGAATTGGGAACAAAACGGGGTCGGGAGGGGGGGGGGATGATGGAAAAGAGAGGAGAAAAAAATATGCGTCGAAAAATCCGCCTCAACCTCAAAATTCGGTTGTCTTTTGCACAAGATCATTTTNAAAAAAAACAATTCTTCAGTTTTCAGTCTAATGAGAGCGCTTTTCAGATTAATTTTAAAAGTAGTGAATTTCTTGTTTATTATTTATTTATTTATATATTTTGAAGGTATCACAATAACCATATATCTCAATGTTATCCTTTCTTGAAACTGCTGCATGTATGTGGTGGCTGTTGATTAATTCATTTTTTTAGAACCTCCCATGCCACTTATCGAGAAAAATGACCAATTCTCCCATTCAATCAATACGTGGTAATCGTTTGTACGCCGAAACGTGCAGATTCGGTACTGTTTATTACGGACCCAAAATTAGTCCGTCACAGACTCGATTCCCATTTGCCGCAGAAGGGTTTCTCGAAGCTGAATAGTGTAACAATATCAAGCTGATGTTATCGAGCTTGTGCCAGCAGGCATTGCTATTGATTTGACTTGTGTCGTGAATAATGTTTTTCACGATTATCTTATGATTCATTCCTCGTTTGCAGCGTCCAAATCTTATCAAATTTTTGTAGCGTCTCTATAACACGTCATCTATCTATCATCATTTGGTCTTTTTCTTGCCTTAATCTTAACCAATAACGCTAAAGTTGCTGTTATGATTGTTGCTGTGAAGAAAATAAGTAAAGAGAACACATTAAGTGTTCACGTTCGTCTTCAACGCATCCAACCGCACCAAATACAAAATAATCCTCAAAACACAACTAATTATCAGTTCTTGTAGTTACCCCACAAAATTGAGTAGAAAAATTTCAATTCTTACCCGACTTCTTCAAGCTGTTGATAGTGTCGTTGTTGTACAGTATTCGATGAGAGTTCTTCGATTCTCATTGGTCAGTTTCATTAACTACCGTAATCTATTGAGTTCACTTCTGACCAATCGCACGCAGATTACCTCACAAGAAGCCTCCTAATGAGTGGCTCTATATTAGTACATGGGCGAGCGATTCGATAGCGAGCGGGAAATTATGATCATTCAAGCATTTGGCGTAATGACCGCGTTTGTGTTTTATTTTTATTTACAATGTTTTGTTGCTTTTTTTGTTGTTTGCTGTTTTTTTGACGAATCTTTACTCTGTTCTTCCCGAATTGGTAGTATTTTCCACGGGAAGTGCTTTGACCCCTCCTTATTTATCATTTGAACTCATCTGGTTGAGCTGAACTTCAGCGTTTTAGAGCCTGTAACTAATGGAATGATTTTGAATCGAAAGCGAAATTGAGCAATTAATTTAATCTAGCTTAAAGTATTCCAGTACAAACTTTTTCCACCTTACTTCATTTCAGTTAGATAATCATATTCAATGTCCACATCAAGAGTGAAAAGATCTGGTACGAGGAGACTTGTAACGAATGCAACTTTAAAACCTTTCGACGGCAACGGGAATTCAGATGTCAAGCAGAGCAAAGTTACGCAGTACTTTTCCACCGTTCAACGAGGCTCAACAACCAGCGTAAAGAGACTGAAACTCGAAGCACCAACAACCGAACAGGTGGATCGTTTTTATGCAGCACTAATAAAATTTAATTTCGTGTCTTTGTGAGATTTTTTCAGTCTTTATCTTCGTTCCATTGCAACTGAGTGGTTGTTTTTATAGACGCAGAATGCACTAAATTAACTGCTATAATGTGGTTATAGGCAGTTTCCTAGTAAACTTATCAATGCTTTGAGTTTTAGGAGTCTGTTTTTTCGTCAGTTGTTCCGGAACAAGCGATAAAGAGTGAGAAATTTGATAAACTAACGACGATTCTGTCGGACGTTAAAACAGAAGATGATCTTGAAAAAAGCATTTGCGCTGAGGT